AGTTCTCAGAGTCTTGGCGTCGCTCGCTAGGCGACCTTCCAATTCCCCGCCACAAAATCCTACTGGCCACGCTCGCTACTTCACAGCTCACCCGCAACACCAATACAGTAGTGACAACGAGGCCTTCGATAGCAGTCACTACGTGAATCCCGCCACTGATTCTGACGCTTCTGTTTCTTCTTCTAAAACCCTACAAGAACCCACATGGAATGTGAAGTACAGAGAGAGAGCCGATAAATTCATATTTGGGGAAGAAACACAGAAAAGTAAGCTGAAGACGGCCCTTCACGAGGAAGAGGACGATTTGAAGAGGAGAGTGCTGGCCAGAGCCTTACTCGAGGCTGCACTCAAGGGAGACGATGAAGAGGAGGAATTGGTAAGGGAAGAAGACCAGAAGTCTCTTTCCGTTGGGATTATTGGTGCTCCGAATGCTGGGAAATCTTCCTTAACAAATTACATGGTTTGTGTTTCACAACTCGTTAGTAATTTGATATTGGGTTGGTTCCAAAATGGGGGGAAATGTGAGGTTTTGGTTATAATTTTTGAAATTGGAGTCTGCAGAATAGTTTTGCTCTTGAGACTGTAAGAAAGATTTAGTTGAGACTACACCGAACTTGATTGCCCGATAAGTTACAGGTCAACACAATTGCTGCAAGTTTCATCTTACTGTGATTTTAGAAGAGCTTGGTCGTCCTGTTATGGGGTGAGCTTTATCATCCACGAAGTGCATTCTCACTGTTGCTTATTATGCTATGTAGGTGGGAACAAAGGTTTCTGCTGTATCGCGAAAAACGAATACCACTATTCACGAAGTGCTGGGGGTAATGACGGAGGGAGATACCCAGATCGTACGTTTAGTTGTTCCCGTTCGTCCCCTGCTTACTCGATTAATATGTCATTGATGATAATTGTATTGTTTCCTTGCATGTTTCCGTAGAACTATTTCTTCATCCGTATATTAGATGGGTTGTTTGATTGGTTTACATAATGCACAAGTACTTGGTAGGTATAAAAATTGCGCTGTTGATGTACCAGCCTTAATGGAGAGAACCAACCTCAAATGTAGATAATAGTGTCTCAACTGAATTAAGGATCCTTCTTTCTCTGTCTGTCTATCTGGATTGTCAGTTTAAGGAAACTACAGTTTTATCCTCTACGGAAACCTTTCCTTGAAGCAAAATGAAAAGCCATCATTCGTTTCACCTTGAAAGAAATTGGATTCGAGCTCTGTCAGAAGTTTATGTAAAAGCAATCCCCTTGCCCTTAGCACTGCCATGACCAATATTTTTTATTTTATTATTGCTGATGATTTCTGTATCCAGTGTTTCTTCGACACCCCTGGTCTCATGCTAAACAGTCGTGGGTATGCTTACAAAGATGTGAAGACACGGGTGGAAAATGCTTGGAGCACAATTGGCTTGTATGATGTCCTAATGGTTATTTTTGACGTTCACAGGCACCTAACGAGGTTAGTGATCTATTGACTTAACCTTGACTGTATTTTTAGCTGTTTGGAGCTATACAACTTATGAGTAATATGGAACATAACAAAATACAGACTTCTGGTTCGTTTTAAACTCTGGATGACCCTTTTATTGTTTTAGTGTGAGAAGTAAATTTTCTGATTCTTTTTTTTTTTTTTTTTTTGTATCAGGCCTGATTTGAGGGTGATAAGGCTGATAAAAAAATTGGGAGAACAGGAAGATGCAAAGCAGAAAAGGGTATTGTGCATGAATAAGGTTGACCTAGTTGAAAAGAAGAAAGAGTTGGTGCAAGTCATAGAGCAATTTAAAGATCTACCTGGCTACAACAGGTAATAAAATTCTAAAATGCTAATGTTCCTTCATACCATGCTAGAATGCGTGTCTGATGAATTTTCCAATTATGTTTTTAGGCAATTCTTCATATCAGGGCTAAAAGGCGTCGGAGTAAAGGATGTTACGCAATATTTGATGACACAGGCATGTCTCACTCAGCTCTATGCAATTCAGTGCTGATAACTGCTCCCATTGTGATTCATTTTCCTTACTCTGGAACTTGCTATTAATGTTCTTATTTGAATCGAGGCTTTCCATGTGGATGTTCTTATCGTTTCTAGTTTCTTCAATCTGAATGCAGGTTTCTTTTAGATGCATAATAAAATATAAATTGAAAATTTTGATAATGATGTGAGTTTTAATCTAATTCTCTTGGCCCATAAATCTGTTTGTTTCACTGAGGGAACTCTATTATTTTCTTTTCCTGAATCCTTGTTGGAAAAATCTGCCTAGATGTTAGATGGACGAGCAACAAGGTTGTTCTTGGATATTGGTGCTGAGCAACACAACAAAATGAGTTTGGGGGCTACTGTTTCAGTAATAGTTATTCAGAGCATTCCTAGAAAGTAGAAGTGTCTTTTTTCTTTTTTTTTTTTTTTTTGCTAAGCACGGTAAAGATGCATAGATAAATATAATGTTTTCATAAATTATGAGTCTTCCCTTGTTTCCTTAACCTCTCCACTATATTGTATCTTGTCTGCTGAAGTAGCTACTTGCATGTTTATTTGAATAGTGATTCTGTTGATCCTGATTTTGGATAGTTTTTATTACGTGTGTGCTTAGGCAGTTAAAAGACCCTGGGATGAAGATCCCCTTGAGTTAGGTGAAGAAGTGATGAAGAATGTATCATTAGAAGTTGTTCGAGAAAGATTATTAGACCATGTTCATCAGGTTAAAGTCTGAATGTTCTCAATTAACAAGCACTTGCTGCTATTCGCGTATGGATTATTTGTGCTGGATACCATTGAACCCATCCTTCTTTCATATCAGGAAATCCCATATAGCATCGACCATCGGTTGATGGACTGGAAGGAACTGAGGGACGGGTCACTCAGGATAGAGCAGCACTTTATCACAAACAAATTAAGCCAGCGGAAGATTCTCGTTGGCAAGGGGGGTTGCAAAATAGGGTAATTAGTTGCTAGACCAGCATCTCTCACAAGTTTTAAGACTCTGCTTTTGGCTCAGTATCTAACATCATCCTGGCTGAGATAGGGTATATTTGGTATATTACCGAATTCCATTTATTCTGATGTGTCAGATCGGTTGTCCGTTGCAGGAGAATAGGTATAGAAGCTAATGAAGAGCTGAAGTCAATATTCAAGAGGGAAGTGCACCTTATCCTTAAGGTCAGGCTGAAAACTTGAGGAAGAAAAGCGCTGCCATTTACCTGGATCTCCATGTTTGCCAACAGGGTTGTTCTTGTACATACCAGAAAGTCCAGCGGGCAGCAGCAATGCATCTGCCACCACAAAACCTCATCAGCTCCCTTGCTTTGCCTGAATCTGAATGAACAAAACAAGGAGGACCACATCCTGGTTCCACCCGTTTGAAGAGAAACTGGAGGCCGTATGTAAGTGGGCAATTGAAGAGCAAGCAGCTATCTGGTTCGGATGTTCAGAGAGAGAAGCCATTGTATTTTAGCCCGAGGCTGTTGGTAATGCCTGACCCGGAAGTCTGCCTTTGTTCTGGGGTTAGACTATTACGTTGTTATGGTTTCTACCCATCCCTTCCTAAAAAGCGCAATTTGTTGAGAGAAAAATAATTTTTATTCGAGTGATCTCTTCCCGTGTTCATCAATGAAAAGAAACTCCTTATATATCCTCGAGCGCAAAAATACAAAATTACCCTCGTGATTTTCGATTAATTACCCACTGCCACTCTGAGTTTGCTTCAGCGAGCCAAAAATCCAAATAACTCCCCTACACTGAGTTTCGAACCGAAGGACCGGAGCTCACAACTCGTCTCAAATCAGTGCAATTAGCCACTAAGCCATCCAATCATACGCAGAAGTCTAATCTCCTCATCTGAATTTATTTATATTTAAGCTTAATATGCAATATTTGTATCAACTAATCGTGCTAACATTGTTGCTTTAACCAAATTATGTATGCCTCTAAATATTTCAAAATATAAAAAAAATAAACTTGGTTACCACGTTTGCTTTGGCCTCATCATTCATACACATACTCGTTCTACTTAGAAAATCTCTTAACACGAATCATGGTCAATAGATCATGATAGTCACTCTCGATGAAACCATTTAAAAATTATCTTACCACTCAACTACTAAGTTGAAACGTGATAAATACATTTCCTAATAATTCAAATTGTCATATTAATCACGATCATTAGAACGTATTAAGATCACATCAAACCTCTCAATTACATCGAACTACGTGGACTTTGATCCCGATTAACTCGGGTACGTAGGCAACCAATAGGTTCGTGTCCAACCAATCCAAAAACCATTTTTACGTCAATAGCCGTGAAAATCTATAACTTTAAATTCAAAATTTATGATAATCAGACTCTAAAAATTTACATTCAAAATAATTAGAATAATCAAATATTATGCTTAAATACACAAATAAATCACAATTAACAACACACCCAACCCTTAAATGATTATCGATTTAAGTAGTACCCATTATGGGGCGTTGTGGGGTGTGAATACACTTCCCCATACGTAAGCGTACTCCCGAACTTAGAAAAATCTAAAATTCGAAGACCAGATTTCTGGTTTTAACCTAAATAACAAAACGGGAAATGGGTGTTCGACCCACCCCAAAGCGCGGTCGATGGCGAACCGAGAACATCGCGACGGACTATCCGATCCCGAGGTGCGGTTGCGACACTCCTTCCTTCTTTTTCTCTTCTCTTCTTCTTCTTCAGTTCTTCTTACTTCAACATTTTCAACATTGATTGATTCATCACATCAATCGTGGACGAGTTGCTACCTATTTGGATAGAGCCTCTTCCCCAATTGGTGTTGAAGTTGCACCTTCCAACTCCATCTTCCTCGGTTCTTCTCTTTCAATTCTACAAGTTCGACGGTTTGAGGTTTTCTCACTCTAATTCCTTAGCCTCGAGAGTTGAGGCTTATCAAGTGGTATCAGAGCTCGGTTCAACTCAGTGGTCGTGTGACGATCTCCCGCGGTGGCAAAGACGATAAGTTTGTCGATGGAAGGCGGGGCGGGCGCAGCAAGGTGGACCAGATCGAAGGGCCCCGTGGAGTGTGATCATGCTGCTGTTTTGGTAGCGGGACATGAGGGTAAGAAGAAGAAGCAGGAGGCTACTCTCGATCTCTCCGACACAACGCCACTACGAGTGGCAGAATCCGTTCCGGAGAAGGAGATCGCAGTGTGCCATGAGTACGACAACGACGAACCTGAGATGGCCTCTCAGCAGATCAACATGACTGAAATTCTGCAAACCCTTACTGCCCATCTCAGCCTCACGTTCCAAATTCAATTCTTCAAATAAATCGGCTACTGGATGCTCTGTCTCCACCAGCGAACCACTCCGCGCAACATGACACTCCGACGACACCCCAATCGACTTTAGTGGCGAATCAAAACGAGCGGGAACCACCTGGAGTAAATCAGGACCTCGACGAGAGGATTCAGAAACTGGAATGACGACTAGTCGCTGCCGAAACTGATCGACGAGCTCGTCATCGCGAATTTCACGAGCATGAGGGGCGACCCCCTGAAATAAAGTATGGACCAGCGACAGAGTTACGAAGAATCAAATTGTCGATTCCCTCGTTCAATGGCTCCAAGAATGCTACGAGGTACCTTGATTGGGAAAGAAAGATGATTCTTCTCTTTCAATGCGGCCACTACACGGAAGAATAGAAGGTACAGCTCGCTACGTACGATTTCTCGGATTATGCAACGATGTGGTGGGAGAAGACGCAGCTATGAAGAAGGAAAATTTTGCATCCTCCAATCACAACCTGGAACGAGCTGCGAGGCTTGATGAGAGTCAGATTTGTCCCGGGGTACTATCAGCGGGAATTGTTCGATGCTTTGCAGGGCATTCTACAAGGTACTCGCTCCGTGGACGAGTATTTTAACGAACTCGAACTGTTAATGTTGCGCGCCGATGTTCCTGAGGACAGGGAAGCCATGATCTCTCAATTCCTCCATGCCCTCAATCAAGACATAAGGAATGAGATAGATCTGCGGCAATTCGTGGAACTTGAGGAAGTTGTACATATGGCGATCAAGGTAGAGAAACAGCAGCGATCAAGCGTTGGAAGGAGATACCCAGCTTCGAAACCGGCCTCTGAACATCCTTCGTTAGCCAATGTCGAATAGAACAGAGTTGACGGGGCCAAAGTAGCGCCTCGAACAACTGCTCCGGTGACTGACGAAAGACCGGGAGGGTCGACAAGCAGCATAAATGTTTCAAGTGTTTCGGCAGAGGCCACAAGGCCAACCAGTGCCCAAATAAAAAGGCACTAGTACTTTGTGATGGTGAATACGTCTCCAACAATGATGAAGAGGAGCCCCAGAACAACAAGGCCGATTCTGAGTCTGAGGTCGATGAAACAATCGAAGCAGAAACCCATTCTTCTGGGAAGTTTCTTGTGGTGAATCGACGGATGCTCACCTTCGACGCTCAAGTGGATGGAGAACAACGGGAGAATTTGTTCCACACCCGCTGCACCGTCGTAGGAAAGTTGCTTTCCGTTGTAATCGACAGAGGTAGTTGCACAAACGTCATTAGCCTTGACGCTGTTAAAAAGCTCGGCCTACGGACGATCAAGCATTCACAGCCTTACAGTCTACATTGGCTGAACGAGGTGAATAAACAAGCTAAAGTTCGGTTCAAAATCGGCGACTACGAGGACGAGTTGTGGTGTGATGTAGCCTCGATGCATGCAGCTCATCTACTGCTCCGCCGACCCTGGCAGTACGATCGAGGGGTCACTCATTAGGGGCGAGGAAACTACTACAGGTTCAGGTATGGGAGTCGCTCATTTCTACTTAAACCATTGTCACCGGCAGAGGTCCGAGCCGACCTGCAGCAGATGATGGCACAGCAAAGCACGAACAAGGAGAAACTTGGTGGCTCGCAGACTGAGGTGCGTAATGACGTTGGTTTGGCGGCTCGCAGGTTTATGCTCACCGCTCTTAGGCGAGGGAAGTTTTCACGACCGCCAGAGAATTGTGTGTTCTGCTCTTCGACGGCGGAAGAGGGCAGGAGAGAGAACGATTTGGTTGGAGTACTGGGGGCACCGACGACCTCGACCACCGTTGCCGATCACTTTGAAACATCCCCAGGAAGCTATTCCCTAGAATTGAGTGAATCGAATCTGCCTACTCTGAATAATCCAAATCGGTCCCCAACCCCTCTGGAAACGCAAACACGGGCAGCAAATTTGGCTCTATTGGGTGGGGAAATTGAGCACAATTCGACGCCATCGTTTGATGCGAATCCACTCAAGGGAGCCCCAGGAAGCTCTCGGATCTTTCCAATCAACCCAGAGCGCCATGAATCCAAAACGTCCAAATTCGGAATGAGAATTCTTGGTTTGGAGCATTCAAAACCCGACATTGGCAGGAAAGGAAGGCAGGCTGGGTCGACGCCACTGATGACAAATCGAGACACAGGGATGGTTCAGGAAGTCAATTGGAGTTGTGGCGAAGCTTGTGGAAGCTACGAATTGGACTGGAACTGGAAGTCCCTAGATCGAAAAACCGCAATTTCATTGCTCAATAACACTGTTGTATTTTTGCAGGAATTGCGGTTCGAACGACCTTTTTTTATCCGATTGGGGATCAATTTTGTTACGATTTTGAGAAGAGGAAGGATCAGTTTTGTGGACAAAGATTTTTGAAGAGGGGAAGCCTGATATGATCAGAAATTACCCCAATTCAAAGCTTAAATTGCCTGTCCAAGAAGCTAACCCAACCAAATTGAATTATGTGGAATATTGGTCTCGTCCTTTAACGAGTTCAAATGGGGTACATTGGGGACTTGGTTCTTTCGATCGGGTCAGTGGAAATGTGAGTTGGGTGGCTTGTTTTGAAGTTCAAGATATCTCCTATAAGGTTGAGTGTTTGGCAGCTCGAGGAAAAACTTGGAAGTTCCATTTTCAGGCTCGACAAAAGGTTGTCTCGACACAGGGAAATTGTCAAAATTTGTCAAAGTAAAAAATGGTGTCCAGCATAACGACTTTGAAGCTTCATTCCAGGCGGAAGGTGATGAGTCGAGTATGGAGCTTCATGCTACATGAAAGTGTGTATTTTACTCTACAAAGAAGGGGCATTGGCTGATTGGCGGCATATTGGAAGACATTGTTCGAGAGCCTCAAAGATGGTATCAAGGCTGCTCGATGACTTGGAGCTGAAGGCAAAGCTACTTTCCTTGTTTGATTCGAAATAGTGTTTCTTGTGAGTTTAGGTTTAGTTTTCGAGTCCTATTGTAATTAGGAGGACAATAGCGAGTGTAGACCTAGTTAGCTATTTAATCTTCGACAATTCCTTCGTAAGTTTTTCAGTTTTTGAAGTTCAATAAAGAACCCTAGTCAATGAAGTTTTATGCTCTTTGATTGTCCTTGTTGTGTGGATTCAAATCCAAATAGGTAGCAACTCGTCCACAATTGATGTGATAAATCAATCAATGCTGAGCTCGCTCGTTGATGGATTTGAATCCACGCAACAAGGACAATCAAAGAGCATAAAACTCCATGGCAAGGGTTCTTTATTAAACTCTGAAAAACAAAGGAATTGTCAAAGATTAAATAGCTAACTAGGTATACGATCGTTTACTGCCCTCCTAATTAAGATAGGACTCGAAAACTAAACCTAAACTCACAAGATACACTAATTCAAATCAAACAAGTAGCTTTGCCTTCAGCTCCAAGTCATCGAGCAGCCTTAATACCATCTTTTGAGACTCTCGAACAATGTCTTCCAAGTATGCCACCAATCAGCCAATGCCTCTTCTTTGTAGATTAAAATACACACTTTCATGTAGCATGAAGCTCCATACTCGACTCATCACCATCCGCTTGGAATGAAGCTTCAAAGTTATTATGCTGGACACCGTTTTGTACTTAAAACAGATTTTGACAATTTCCCTGTGTCGAGACAGCCTTTTGTCGAGCCTGAAAATGGACCTTCCAAGTTCGTCCTCGAGCTGCCAAACTCTCAACCTTATAGGAGAGATCTTGAACTTCAAAAGAAGCCACCCAACTCACATTTCCACTGACACAGTCGAAAGAACCAAGTCCCCAAAGTACCCCACCTGAACTGGTCAAAGGTAGGGTTGAAATTTTGGGTCTTTAAAGGGATGAAGAGAGATGTGGTTGGACCCGACAAAAGGTCATCGTGGTTGGTTAACCCGGTTTTTGTCGATTTCCCGCATTTGCACGTCAGTTCAATTATCTGGTTAGTATGAACGTGAATATCATACATCCATTCTTCATCAAATCCATTCCTTTCCAAGCATTCTTTGTAAAATACTCGTATGAAATGCATCACCTATCCAAAGGATAGAAAATCAAAATAAGTATCCTCTAATGATAAACTCACAATTTGTTAAACAAAAATTGAAAATAAAAGTTAGAAATTGTTGTCTCCTCAATAGCACTTTATTTTAACGTCATTAAGTTTGACACCAGACATGGACTGCCTCCCATGGAAGAAAAAATTATTTTATGCCTTTGATGTTACTCATAGTCGTACACCAAGCATGGACTGCCTCCCATGGAAGAAAAAATTCTTTTATGCCTTTGATGTTAGTCATAGTCGTACACCAAGCATGGACTGCCTCCCATGGAAGAAAAAATTCTTTTATGCCTTTGATGTTAGTCATAGTCGTCCTCCATGTTGGATGACCATTCAAGATCAAATGTCCATAAACATGTCCTTCTTTTGAAAGCTTCCATCAATTTTGACCATCATGGTCTTCTTCTCCACATGTATCACATATGAACAAGGTTGCCACTTGTCCCTTCTAATGCTCCATCTTGGCATTCTTAAGTTGTAGAGAAAGCTCATTCATCTGTTGGTACAAAATGATGGTTACCTCCTCACTTCTGTGGGCTGCCTTCAATGGTTTTATCATCAATCGCTTGGACCAATTCTTTGACTTCCTTGAAAGTGTGGCAAAATGCTCCTGGCATTGGACTCCCGTTATTTGTGTGAAATTTCCAACGGCTTACTGATTTACCATCTTTGTGTTATCTCAATCTAGGGCTTTGATGAAGTACTTAGAACCTTGCTCCTAGAGTGAATCCATGATGGGGGCACACCTTTACATACTCCTTGAATCTCCTCCAAGAATCATAAAAAGTATTCCGTTCCTTTTGATGGAATCAGTTGATATCATCTTTAAGATCCTCTATAGACCAAGGTGGAAAGAACTCATTGATGACTGCTTGTGATAGGGTCTCCTAGTTGGTGAAGTTATTGGGCAAATGATAGTCTAGCCACTTTTTTTGCCTTTCCCATCGGTGAGAAAGGGAATACTCTCAATCGAATGACTCCTTTGGTGGCTTTATATCCACGAACGCACTCTAAAATCTCTAAGAACATCTTTAGATGTTGCACCAGATCATCATCACTCCTTCCTACGAACCTTCCAGTTGCACCATCTACATCAATGATGTGCGAATTGCCTTGGTTGTTGGTGGCGCAACAATGCTCGATGTGATGTTCAAAGCTCTTGGTCTTGAATAATCATAAAAAGTAGGTGGTATCACCATCCGTTGCTCCTCTCCCATCATGGCTCATGTGGAAGATGCTTCATAGGATACTTCTTCTCCAAAATCGAAGTTGCAATCTTTCTTCAGTTTTCTTCTCCCAGGTTGAGTTAGCCCCGAGATGAGTGTTGCTTGATGCATCCTCCTCTTCTAAGATAGATGCTTCTTGTTTTGATCTCAACACAGGTGAACTATATACTCCTCTTTCCTTGATGATCTCCTTCACAATCTTTGGATTTTATATTTCTATTCTAGTAGACACTGGACTCATAAACTAAATCTAAAGATAATAAAGAGTCATGAGATGGTTAGATGCTTTCAAATACTATTAGAAATTCACCGGCAATGGCACAAAAAACTTGATAGCATTGCATGTAGTAGTCAAATCAATGAAATCAGATACAATCAAAGCTATAAATCCTAGAGGATCGTGTTCTACAAGACTTTCTGATAATAGTTAGTCACATCCAAGCATCCAATGCTAAAAAAAGACTCAATAGAAATAGATGGGTTGAGGTGATGCGATAAAATGTATATGCACTTTATCGATCGAGTAATTAAAGTAAGTAATATTATCGTCCCATAAGGATTGGTACAATTTCAGATTTAATAATTATGTCAAGGAAATGGGGAAAAAACAAAAGTATTTTTTTTTTTAGCAAACTAAAGACAAAGTAATAACTAAACTAGAAAATAAGTAGGAGATTAACTTGGAGCAAACTAAAGACATTTTACTATTCATTGTGGAGACATGAGATATTTTCTTAAGTTAATAATACATGGAAACTCATTGACAGATGCTACTTTTACTTGGTATGCTAACTTTCCATCTAACTTCATAAAGACATGAAAACATATGGAACATATCTTTTCATACCCAATTCTATAGATATGAGCTTGACGTTTTAGGTAGTTACTTCTTGTGATTATAAATAAGGGTGCGTCAAATTCATACCAAACATCTAAATATCAATTTTATATTTTTCTCTGCAAATTTAGTCTTAAATTTTGGAGCTATCGCCTAAACTTCAACAAGAGTAGATATAAGTTAGTGTAAATATATATCATGAGTTGTAAAAAACATCATCCACCTTTAAATGAAATTTGTTCTAAAAAGTATTAACCATATTTAGCAATTGTTTGATTAAAAATCAAAGCTACAATCATTTTTGTTCAACTCAAAAAATTTCTCATGGAAAACAACAACCATGAGAAATCCACTAAACAAAAAACACTCATTTAATTCCAACGGTGAACTAAAATTAATATATATAAACCTAAAACATAGTTATTACTCACTACCAGTTTCATTAGCACGCTGCAAATATATTATGGGAGGGGTTTGAGTATGCCTGGAACCCCAAGGTTGTCAAACCGCGGGTCGACCCGCGAGTGGATCCACTTTGATCCTGACCCAGTGAGAAAAACGGGCCGCACGCATCCGCCAGGTCGACCGCTACAGGGTACCGGGTTAGAGGTCAAATTGTACCATTTTTTTTTGGTTTGCGAAATGCGCCTATTTTCCGATTTTTCTTTTCGCCTAACTCAATTTTTCGAATCCAAATTTGAACATTTGAATATTGATGTTATATAAGTGTGTGTGAATTTTCACTATATGTTGGATCTAAGTACGACATGTTATTTTGGTGTAATATTTTATGTTATAACTCATATGTTAGATGAGATTTGATATAATTTATCAGGATAAATACAATATAATGACTCTTTTCACATTTCCGGGCTATACCATGCTAAAACGGGTGACCCATTAACTCTTGACCGACCAGCTTGTCCGGGTCCGGGTCAGCCCGCGGGTTGACAACCTTGCTCAACCCAAAAACAAATGCATCCAGCCCAACATTAAATTAAGAATTATGGTTACCAATTTTAGTATAGTTTAAGTCTTTGTTGTAAGTCTTATTACACATTGTCTTCATAATTAGACCGGTAGTTGAACTGAAAGATTTAGTAGTTTATGGTTCAACGGTTAACCGCTATAGAATCGTTGTTTAACTATTGAAAGAATCGTTCATGCGCTATAAAAAAAAGACATATACAATACACTAATTTAGGAGGAAAACATTACTAACCATAAACAATTCAAATGCATATGATCCATCAACAAAAAAGCCAAACAGATCCTTCAAACAACTTCACAAAAAAATCATAATTTTTTTATTAAATTCAATTTAGTAATCACGGTGGTAATCCGTAGTGGACCACATCAAGCCGACAAGAAGGCTGAGAAATGAAAAAAAAATGATGCATAAATAAAAGTAGTAATTGCAGTTGGATTGTATTGTCTTAGTTTACGTTAAAGTATTTTGTTTTTTCATTTTTGTGGTTAAAAAGGTGAACTAGTGGACCAATCAAACATGAGTGGTTCATCTAGCTTTGGTCCATTCCTAACCTCAAACAAATGAACCGAACTGCTATTGTAACCAGTTTGATAATCTGGTTCGATACTTCTAATAATGATTTTACATCATTCTTTTTATATTTTGATTTATGACATAACATCATGTGATATTTACTTATATGATATTTCAAATTTCAATAAAATACAAAAAATTGGGAATATTATATCTTTAGCTAAATGATAACACCTAAATTGGTGTTATTTACCCTTCATATTAAGGTTTGTTTCGTATCAATTCATGCACATAAATGCTTAAACATCGTCAATTGCATCCATATTGCGTTACTATATGAATTCAATGTGGTTTTAGGATGTGTTAGACGATATTTGCGAATTAGGTACAAAATAAGGTCACAAAAGTAGCAAGGGGGCAGAAGACTGAAAATCGTGGCCTAGAAGTAAGGATCGCGATCGAGATCCTAGACCTTAAAGTCAAGCTGAAGATCGCAGCCGTCAATTGGAGGGCTCAGGGAGAGAACTTCGCGAAGAAGGAGCCGAGGAGAAGAGGAGGAGAAGGAGAAGGAGGAGGAGCTAGAAGAGAGGAGGCATCTTCCTCGACCTCAAGTCTTCTTCAATTTCTTCTATGTATCTTATTTCCTCCTTTATGGAGTAGTCCTCTAAGGTACTAGAGGTTCTAAACCCCAAACCCTAGTTTTAGGGTTTACTATGTATGTATGGATATTTTAAGGTTTGTATAAATGAATGTGTTTATCTAGTTAATTCGATTGCTATTCTATCTTTGATTTTGTTTGGGTAAGTCGCCCTAATCTTCTCTATTAGCCAACTTTACGCTTCTATGCTGGGTATGGAGTTCTAGGGTTAGACGGGTATGCTCCATCAAGCAAATCGATGTAGATGTATGAATAGGGACCTATGGTGGTCGAGGCGACCGAACCCCTGCTGTAGGTAGTCTTCCTAGATAGAACCCAGGACATAACCTCGGTGTGGACGGTAGATAGTATCCATTGAAAGGAGCTGTGAGTTTAGTGCCCCAGATACGATAGCCTAGATCGAGGTGACTTTGTATGGGTCTAGGGGAGGCGTACTCGGAGGTGTGTGGATAACGACGAAAACGAGCTCACTCATCACATTCGATAACCCTAAGTATCTAGATATACATAGTAGCCCTAGGCTAGGGTGAGGGATAGTTCCCCGAAGTACCTGCTTTTAACTTTATTCAGTCTCTAAACTAGTAGTTCCCTCAAATCCTCAACTCAAACCTCCAAAACTGACTAACTAATTAACAACAAGGTGGGAAGTAGGCTAGGGTACCAGGACCGAGTAAAATACGACATTGGTTAATGGTTACCACTATACGACAATGTCATCTTAGATTAAACTTGAATTTGGATGTGGTAGTTGTTGACACATGCTTACCATTGGCAATAATCTACTCGAAGTCAAGTTATCACTAAATTAAAGGTAGCTTAAAGATTTGTGAAATAACTTGGTTGAGATAGAAGGGGACAAAATTATTGTTCGATCGAGATATGTGTGATGCTTCTCGGTAGAAATTGTGGCAATTAATATTGACATCATATTCATCCACAAATTTTTCCCCCCACCAAATCAACTAATATTTACATATGTATGTAACCTTTTTTATATAAGCCACTAACCATTAATCAATATTTTCACGAAATCTTAACTGATTCCACAGCTCTGCCAACCGTACTTTATTAAGTGTTTGACATGGAGTTCAAATGTTTCAATGATAGAAAATACAACACTCCATCATTAAAACATGAAATTAGAGTTACGGGGATTTCATTTCTTCACAAGTTTTGAAATATGTAAGTTTTCCATTTATCATATCACATTCTCGAATCACCTTTTTCCCCACTTTCCAATTTAATTTACCACTTAAACACAATTTCTATATAGTAATTTCACCAAATAAAACAGGTATGCAAATGCAAATACTAAGATGAACAAGTAAAATAGCCGCAGCAAGCGCGACAGGTCATGGTCAGCTACTATTTCTTAAAAAGGATGGTGATTCAAAATACCATAACAAACTTATAAAGAAAACATAACAAAACATAGCAAACCAGCTTTCCACTAAGAAAGTTGGAATCTTACTCTCCAGCATCAGTTGGCACTACTGAAAAAGCACTAGACTGACCAGGTTCACTGAATCTGACAACCCAATGCCTCCCTCTCCTTTCTTTTCAAACTATATACATAGCAATGTCTTTTAACTCCTTTCCCAAAAGAAAGCACAAAATACAGAATCCCTCAGGATCCCAGAAAATTGTCAGCAGCTATGGAGCTTCTTGCTGCTACCCATTCCGATTCAGAGTTAGAGAAGTTGGCCCTTTTCGACGACTGTCGCGGCGCCTGATGATCAAGCTTTGATGATTGGCTTCAGCCTGCTGAGTTGAAGGCTCTCAAAAAGGAGTTCCCCCATCCAAAAACTTCAGTGTTCTAATGTTTCTTTTACTTCCTCTCTTCATCTGTTTCGGTATTTCCCTTTCAGCGAGATTCAAATTAACAATTTGTTGGGTTTGAGCGATTTGGATGCTAGCTTGACTGCTCCTTCTGCAAGTGAGTCCATTGTTCTTGCTCCACCTTGCTCAAGCTTATTTGGGAATATTATCATATAATAATGCCTTTACTATTTATGTTGCTGTCTTACATCACCATTGGATCGTGACTTTCAACCGACTCTGACAATAATGGCTAAGTGGCACCCAGAAGGCCAGAACCCATTTTAGCCCCTCCAACTTCATAGCCACAGTGAACTTCTCTGATTACCTTTTCTTCAACACTATGTATTACTACAATCATACTTCATCTGTGAGAAAGATATGATAAAAACTTCATTCAATCCATAAAAATTTACATTACATGCACCACCATACATAACATGTCCCCAAATTTTCATCAGCATGGCTTCACCTAGCTGTAATTAGAGCCACAAAGGAACCCTAAGCTAGCAACAATCAAACGATTTTAACTGGTACAAATTCTTGCTGCGGAGTTCACAACATAAAAAGGTCTACTCTTTCTTATCCTTGGGAGTTGGAGAAGAAGGTTTGAACAGCAACTTGAACACCCTAGCAGCCAAAATCGCTCCGACAAGCGGCGAAATGCAATACACATAAAAGAGCTGCCAATTGTTGTGCCGATTGTTCACGTACGCCCATCCATAAGCATTTGCAGGGTTCATAGAAGGTCCAGTGAACTTACCTCCTGTAAAAATCAACCCCACAGTTACCACGGCCAAGAGCCAAACTTTGACCAGGTAATTTTTCGGCCCTTTGACCATAATCGACAGCAGGGCCAGGCAGAGCACGAAGCTCAGAGCTGCCTCGGCGATTGCTCCGGTGTGGAGATCCACTTTCAGCGACGGCCCACCGAGCACGTGCCTGAATTTGGCAGGGAGGAATTTCCCGATTGCTTTGGCGCCGAGAACCCCGCCGGCCGCCTGGATCGGGAACCGGGCGGCGATCGAGAAGAGGGAGGCGTCCGGTTTGAGGCCGGCAGCGTAGAGGGAGACGGTGGTAGTTGGGTTGAAGCTGGCGCCGCCGAGGAGGGATCCGATTGTGCTGAAGAAGAGGACGAAGGCGGCCGCGACGTTGACGGTGATGAAGATGGCGGCGAGGGATTTGGGTTCGACGCCGGCAAAGGAGGATACGGCGGCGGAGGAGATTACGAGGAGTGGGACGGAGAAGACCCACATCGAGGTCAAGATTCCGTCTCCCAGGGCTGACTTGATTAGGCCCATTTTGATTCGCTTCGCCGGCGAGTCCGACCTGGTGGTTTCGGAGCTGCCGCGAGCTCTAGAAGTGAAGTGTTTGGTAGCGCCAGTAAGAGATTGGAATTTGGATGTATTTGTTGAACGACAGGTAAGGAATATCTTGGTGTTCGTATAAAAACGAAGAACTAAAGATGCTACCTAACCTACTCTCACTTAGAGATATTTAATACAGGATGACGCTTTAGAACTTCCAGAACTTCTCAGTTTTTTTCTTAATGACGTTTGAGATTCATATAACTGTTATGATAAAAGATACGTAACTAAGATAAAAGTTAGTGGTAAGATGTTGTATATCGAAATCGTGATTCATTCGTTTCGTACAACTAAATATTGTTTATCGATTTAGTTTCTGGTATGAGATTTTTTGGTCAACCCATCTCTATGGTACGATTGTTCAGATTTTCGGGACGAAAACTTAATGAAAATCTTAACAACAATTATGAATAACGACAATCTTCAATGTTAATTGGCCCTCTTTACAAATTTTCATGGACACAGAGTGTTAGTTTGCTTGGCATGATTTATAGTTTTTCAGATTCAATGTCTCAAAACGAGACATTTTGTCCAGATATGTTGTACGGGAAACGAAATTAAAACAAGATATTGAACGGATGAAACCATTCGAAAGTCTAAAATGAGACATTTCAAAAGGCTAAATTGCAAATTTGTTCACTAGAATTACTATAAATTTTTACTTTTGCCACTACAATTAGTTTATCTCAGTCATGGTCACTAAAATTAGTTTAACGGTTCAAGTTTGGTCACTCTCCGTTAGTTTCCATTAACTTTGGTTGATGTGGCAGTCAACTCTAATAGTTGACCGTTAAATAAGAGATGTTGCAATTAAAAAAATTAAAAAATATATATATTTGCAATTTCCACCTCATTTTTCAGACTACTAAAGAAATTAAAGCGGTTATCTTTGTCGCACAACAGCTTCTCCGGCGGAATCCCGGTAGAGCTCGGTGGTCTCTGCGAAACTTTTAAAGAGCTCGACCTCTCTGGGAACCAGCTCACCAGATTCCCCTTTGTTTTCAGATCATGCTCTGTTCTCGAAACTCTCGACCTTGGAATCAACGAGCTCTCAGGATGAAACTGCTTTCCAGGGCCCTCTCGTTCTTCTCATAATCTTATTCCTTGAACCTTCCCTAGAAATCCCAAACCTTCCTTTCTCTAGCATCAACCAAACAGACCGTCCTTTTCTTTCTAGAAAACTCACTTCCCAGAAAATGAAAAAACTCCAAATCCCTCTTCTTGGCATCTCTTCTGTTTCACTTAGTTGCTTGTGAAAGACCCCAAATCGTCAGCCGCCGAGGTCTTCTATGGGAGGAGACGGAGCTGGCGAGGAGTGTGAGTTTGTCGGGTTCGGTGCTGTGACGGATTGAGCTGCCACGATGGAGGTAGCAAGGAGAAGATTAATTTTAGGGTTTATTATTTTATTTTTAATAATTGAAATAATGAGGTGGGAATATTAAATATTATTTTTTTTATTTTTAAATTGTCATGTCACATATTTAACGGTCAACTCATAGAGTTGACTGCCACGTCAGATAAAGTTAACGGAGACTAACGAAGAGTGACCAAACTTGAACCATTGAACGATTTTTAGTGACCAGGAATGGAATAAACTAATTCTAGTGGCAAACGTGGAATTTTTTAGTAATTTCAGTGACCAAACTTGCAATTTACCCCATTTCAAAATATCTATCGACATCCTAGTTATTTCAAAATGTCCCATTATTTTAATTTTTATCTTTCTACTTATCTTTCTACTTATCATATGAATACTTAATTTATTTCGAGTTCAGTGTGCAATAGTATCGATAAGCTCAACCGAGATAACGCATGGAGAGACTAAGAAAACAAATACAAGATGCACCTAGTAGCATGGGAGCATATGACTCTTCCCAATACCCAAGCTGGAGCGGGGTTTTGATCTCTTAGGCAAGCGAACCTAGCAATGCTGCAAAGACTAGGTGGCAGCTCCTCAAAAAGGAAGACAGCCTGTGGACACAACTTAGGCACTCCAAATACAGCTGACAAAATGAGGAGCTAAACATTTTGTGACCTATTTAGGGAAGTTCCTTTACCTGGAATAGTTTCACGAAAGCTACCAACCTTCGTTTGGTTGGATATTTGGTTGTTACAGGTTTCTCTAAAGGAGGTTGTGGTGAACTAGATTTTTGGGGGAGCTTGAAGGTCCAATGTTTGCTGATTTTGTTATGCATGAAGGCAAATGGCGGACAGAGCTTTTTCGTCAACCTTTTCCCACTTGAAGTCCAAAAGAAAATTTTTGCATCGCAATAATCAGCCTATCGACAAAAGAAGATACTCTGCTCTGGAAACCCTTTTCGGATGGAAACTTCATGACCAAATCTTCCTACAGACGCCTCAATCCACTTCATAAAGACCCTGATGAGAAGTTCTAAAGGACCATTTGTAGGCTTCCTGTTCCCGAAAGGATTAAAAGCTTTATGCGGATTGTTCTTTTGGGAATGGTCACTACCAACTCCCTTCATTTCTCCAGGAAGGTAGCTTCGAATCCGTACTGTGTGTTCGCTGTTAAAGAAGACCGGAGACCATTTTACACATAATCTGAGCCTGCCCTTCTGCTTTATACTTATGGACTATGGTCTCGCCATGTTCTAGGGCCCGGCCAAGACATGAGCATTTCTTCAGCACTGGCCAGGCAATGTGGTTGCGTGAAAACCTTGTGAGTAATGACACCAATGATTCAGGTGTAACATGGGCAGTCTTCTTTAGTGTAGCAGTGTGGTTATTATGAAGAACAAAACCATTACCTCCTTCAAAGGTGGGAATGGTGCTCTCTCCCCGCCCTCCATTGCGCACTTCCTTGTCTCTAAGATGAAGAGGTGGCATCATCTGGTAGACTTTGGCGTAGTGCTTCAGGGCAGTGGGTCTTAGGTTTTGTCGCCAACATTGGTAAGCCTTCTTTTATGGTCTTGATCTATTTTGGAAAAAGGGGTGCTGAACACTAATAGTACAATCAGATTCCCAGTTGGCAATTCATATCCTCAACAACATACATGATCGGGTCATCCTTATGCAACGTTACTCTCAGCGATTTGTAAGAAGCTAAGTCAAGAGTAGTTGGTGAGCATCACATCACTTGTAACGAGAAGAGAATAGAGTCGCAGACTGTCTCTCAAAGTATAACCTCGTCTATTCTTGTGGTACATATGAACTTACAAACCCTCTCCCAGGATTAGCTACAGTCATGTGTGGTAATATTATGGCTATCAGTTTCAAACATCAGATTCTCCCCAGCCTTTAGTGCTGGCAAATTCTGATCAGACCCACGCCACCCAACATACCCCGATCTATTTGGCAGGTATTATCCAACCAGTAGTAGCATTTGACTGGACATGGGTATTGTTTCCAACCTGCTCCCTTCTCGGCCCATTCTATCATTATTTGCATCAACAACTACATGAATTCCTCCTATTTTAACCTTTCTAAAATTATATTTTCATCCCAAAGAGATTTTTAAGACTCTATCTTTCAACTATTTAAACTTAATTATTCTTTCTAGTTTTTTACACATTCTTTGTGAGTTTTTTTCTCTATTTGTTCTTGCAAAAGAGTTAAATATCGATATTTTTTCAAATAACATATAAAAATAGGCTGCTTCACATCATACTCGCACGAATATTACTCAATCTGACCTATTAGTGAGACAAATATGAATATTGAAATACCCGCACATTCTTATCACTATAACCGTCCCTCCTTCCTGCCAAAGCTCCCCCATAAATTTTTTCCTACTTGGTGGCCTCTTTATAGCAAAAAAAAAAAAAAAAAATTCTAGGTACCAATTTAAGACTTCCACCGATCACTAGAATAATAGGAGTTGTCCTACTTTCAAATATGTAATTCAAGTTTGTCTACAATATACTATAAGGCAATGTCAAAAAAGCTGTTTTGCCCCGTCAGCACCTCCTGCACAGTCCGCACATTGCGGATGGGTTTTTCAGTCATTCTCATATTTTCACTTTCTCTCTCAACCGTCCAAGAAATCCTGGCCCTCCTGTCTCGCCTCTGTCTTCTGAACCCGCCCGGAAGAAATCCCCGGCGCAGCGGCGCTCCCCTTTACCCTTTCCTTTCCCTCGCCCTTTTTTATCCCTTCTTTCAATACCGCCACCACTTCGTTCTCCCCACCTTTAATCTACTCCAATGTCGCACCGTCGAAACTCGGCATATTGATTAATTGATATATTATGAGATCTGGGTGAAAAAGGTTCATCCGCCGGTTGCATGGAGGTGAGAAATCTGAGTTTTGAAAAGAAAAGAAGAAAATGAAATATACAGCTAGCTTCCTCCGCGTTGTTGAAGAGATAGAGAGAGAAAGAGAGGGAGGGGTGAGAAATTGCCGTTGAAGAAGGAACTGATTGTTGGACAGTGGCCAGTGGTGGTGGTGAACTAGAGAGAAGACAAGAGATGATAGAAAAATAACGGATAAAAAAATAAAATAAAAAGATAAATGTAATAAATATTGAGAGAAGTTAACTTTTTGAAGTGATATTGATAAAAGTGAACTATAAAAACTTTCTCCATTATTTTATCACTCTATTTATAAGTTAGTATTTAATAATTCTATTTAGAGGTGACAAATTGATTGGATTGGTGATTCATGGGTCAAATGAATCGGTAGATTGCATTAATTGGATGGGTGAATTATCCATGAATCCAAATGATATCCTTAACCTTAGACCAAAATATAAAATATAAAAAGTTTAGGTACTAAAATGTCACAATGAAAATTTTGGGCACCAAAAGGTAATTTTCCAATAATATTTTTGGTACAGAAAATTAAATTTTAGGTACCAAAATGTAAAAAATAAAAATTATATGGATTCATGGATCAAATAGATTAGATTTAAATGAATTGGATTAGTTGGATATTTTTAATGGATTCATGGATTGGATTGGTGAATTGTATTGAGAATTGCCACCTCTAATTCTAATATTCTATTACATAAGGAACAAAAATATTATATATTGTATTTTGGTGTTTGATTCTTGCTTTGTACATCCGACAATCTAGACGTTTTGTTGTTTCATTTTATGTTAAATCTATATTATTTGTGATTTTGTTGAATTCCATTGCATGTTCATCGTAGATATAGAGTCAAATTTTTGTTGCAAGTGATACTGGAGA